TCCCACGTCAACTTGTTAATTCAATACCTTTCTTTACCCTTTCTGGATAACTGTATAAACCTGCTCAGTGGTTTGAAAAAACACAAATCCTTTTTTTTTTTTTTTTTTTTTTTTTTTTTCTTCCTTCATTCCATCTCCCAGAAAAGCCTGAAACAAGAGCAAAGCTCCTGGCTGCTGAGAGCAAAGTAGCAGCTCATTCTCCACACTCAGAGACACACTAGGAGCATCTTGAAATTAATTTCCAGTCTGATAAAACGCATTGGCTCCAGTTCTCCAATCAATAGGATCCCAGCCTGAACACAAGTGCAGGCTGGATGTGACAGGACTTTAGGCAGGTAGTTCCTGATTTGTGGGATAAGTTTAGTATAGTTTGTGCCCAGGCTGAGGTAGGAACACAGTCCCCTCTATCTGCAGAGGATCAGGCCTGACAGAATTCAGCTCTCTCTTTTCTTCTTATTTGTCTTCAAAATGCCCCCTCTTCCCCTCTGTTTGCAGGGGGAGCAGGGAATTCCCACTCTCTGCTCCAAGCCCTTCCCACCCAGTGCCTGGGACTCTTCCCTCTGCATTGCTCCAACCAGGGCAGCCTCGACAGACCAAAATTTACAGTTCAGCCTCTCATTGCATTTTGTTCATCTGTGGAAGGGAGAACACTTGTATATGTAAACAGAGTTCTCATATGATTGTCTGACAGTTAACATATTTTTTTATTCCTGTCCCCAAAACTGTCAACACAGAGTCGAACATCTGTTGTGCTTTCAACAGGAGGAGAAATTGCAGTGAAGTGCAACTACTAATATATTCTCTACTTCTGGCTTGGCTTTTCTTGCTTTTCCTTAATTGCCAAGACTGCAACGCAATGATATTACATGCAATGTGAAAGAACTTACATTAAATAGGCTAACAATTATTTTCACCATATGTTAATTATTTGGATGAMATATCCCTTACGCTTTCATGAGCTGCCAGGGTAAAGAAATCCTGCCTAGCCCAGCAGACTTCTTGCATGGCTTCCCACTGGTGAAAGAGAAGAGAAAAGAGAATCGTCTCCGGGTCCCTAAGCTGCGACTGTGCTGCATCTGCCAYTGGCTCCATCCAGCAGCAGCTAAGGCAGATGTTTCCTGTACTGCAGCTGTGAAAAGAGTTCAAATGCTGTCTCTTCAGTCTTCAGCAATGTGTTATATTAYTGCTACGAGTCATTTTTATGAAAATATCTTAAAACATCTTTATAAAACAAAGTATTGGGATACCTAGGACATTAACCACTCTTTTTTTTTTTTAAAAAAAGTTTCTCCTGGTCAAGACAGGGATATCCAGCACTTCACTATTATGTCATTAAGCATCAGTGCCTGCTGAGCAGAAGAAGCAGTCTTTAATTGAACGCTTTTCTTCCTGTGTCACTATCTGACTTTTGAAGGATCAGAACAAGAAATCAATTTTCCTGCAYGCTTGGGACTCGATGCCTTTTCTCCTGATGAAATTCATGGGGAACAAAWTTCCATTCAGCGATGTAAGGAGGATCCTTATGCATCCGCCGTCTGGTCCACATGCCATCAATTTTGCTCTTGGGAAAGGGCTTCTGTAGACTGGCCAGAAGTTTTGCTCAACCACTCTGACTTATAAGCAGCATCCTGGCTGTTGCTTTGGTCCGAGCACGTCTCACATTCAGTTGCATGACTAAAATGTTTCGTGTTGTTCTCTGTTGTTAATCAGCTGCTGCATATTAGTATGGGTAAAACAGTTCTACAGAGAGTTTTCCTTTCCTTTTAAAGGAAACTGCTTTGGGATGTTTCTGTTTGAAAGATGGCACAGAAATGCAAATTACCCTTAGCCTTGTAGCTCGGCGTTACCTCTGCATTTCATTCATGAGGTGGATTTGTACACAGAGCTGTCCCGAAACACAGTGAAATTAGGCCTGCTCCTGTGACCAACATGCTTAGGGGGGAATTGAACAGCTATAACTGATATGAGTTACAAGAATGTCATAATCCAACAAATATTCATGCTGAAAACAGTATCTCTTTTAATGCTTATTTTTTTCCCCAAAAACCATTCTATTTCATTTATAGGTTTAGAAAACAACCCCCCTTCCCCAACAAATTAATATGTGAAAGACCAAGTAAATGTATGTCATATCTTCTGTAGCGTTCTTTTTTTCCCTCTGGTTTTATTCACACAGACATTTGGGTTCACACCAGTAATTGCTTTTTGTTTGAATGCTTTTATGCAAGTTTCCTTTAGYCCTGACTGTAGCAAAATGTATTCTGGCAGAAGCCTGCAAAACACGAGCCTGTTTCAGTTGCTCAGTAAAGACCTGAAACATCTCTTCAGAACTGCAGAAAAGGGAAACCCTAGCTGCATGCAAATGAAATTTAGAGCTCTCCCTTGCATCTAGTGAAAGTCTGCCAGGACAGGAAAAACTCATAAATATGACTGCAGTGACAAAAAGCAAGACAAGAAAGAGGCCTCTAATTCCTGGATGGGAAATGTGGAAACAGTAAAGTAGGAGTCYCTGGATGGGTGGTAAGTTAGCTCCCCCTCCCAATTAAGTAGCTGCTCCAGTATGAAGCTTTAAAAAAGCTGTTGGAAAAGATTTGGATCAAAATGAGACTCCAAACAAAATGACAACCRTAAATTGCTTAGCACATTGCACCTTTATTCAGTTATTTGACCACAGCTTACCACRTTGCCTTGTGTCTTCGGTGATTTATCCATGGCCAACAACAGTGTCACCAGTGGTTAGAGGCCCATCATCTTGCTGCTGGTTACTGGATTTGGGTGAGGACTCTCCCAGTTACCCTCTAACTAGCATAATGGCAAAGCTATCAACAGGACTAGGTACCTGCAGGAGTGACTAACAGAACTGCCATTCCCGTTAGGACCAAGGGGTGACACCGCAACAAGGGAGAAACTCGGGATTTTGGGGGAGACTGGAGAGCGCCGAGGGATGCAGGTGCTGCAGTGCAGGGCTGTTTTGTGGGAGACTTAAAAGTAAAGCACTTAGCAGCAGCACAGCTGAGCACTGTAGGACAGACTCAAGCTCTCACTGGACCTATAAAGCAAGTAAATTGGAGTCAYTCTGAGAGGGGAATGCGAGAAGGACCTAACAGCAAATAGCGCCACTTTGGGGCTTTCCCAAGGGAAAGGGAAGTGAGGATGCAGACAGGCGGAATGTCAAAGTACAGAGCAGAATGTAAATAACTCGCTTAAATAGCTCTCCTCTTGCAAGGAACGTGTCATGGAATCCTCCATACCCGCAGTTGCTCGAGGCTCTCGTTTCACGGCGTATCCTAAAGATAGCTCAGCTGGTAACACGATACGAAATAATGGTGGAATTGTTTTCCTCCAGGAGAGGCTGGGTACGAAGGAACCTGCCCTGTTTCCTCCTGCGACCAGCTCTTCCTGGAAGGTTTTTTAGCCAGAGTTTTATCTCATGTTGTTCAGTCTATGATTTAATGGGATGTCCCCATCTCCGCGGCTGTTCCACAAATACAGTGCTGCAGCTCTGGCTTGGCCACTGGTCTGAATCACGCGAGCAGCTACTGCATGTCAGGCAAGCCTAGGTGTTACATATTTCAGAATATCAGACTTTTACTTTCATGACCAACATTGGGAGAGACAAGGGGCCGGAGAGAAGGTGCATTTAGCACCACATAAGCCTGGCTTGGTTTTGCGCCAGGCCAGTCTGAGTGATAGCAGGCCTCCCTTCAGCCCCTCTTGCAGTTGGTGCAGTTCACTCGACAGACAGCCATGTCTTAAGCACRTGTCTTAAGTGTATCTTAAGCATGGTTCCTAGTGCTTAAGGTCACCTATGTTGCCTATGGCACGCAAACGAGCTTGATGGGACTGAGATACCTGCTCCATAATGTTCAAAAGTAGTCAAAGACCCCTGAGATCTGCCACACCATTGGGGATTTGAATTAAAATTCAAATTCCCCTCTTCGTATCAAAAAGAAAAAAAAAAACAGAAGAAAATTAATTGCCTACTGTTGATTGTGAACATGAGCAGGAAAAGCTCCTTGCTGTTGTTTCTATAAAAGATGATTGACATATCTGCACAGGGCAGAGGGGCTGTGGACACTCTGGTGCCAAGGGTCTTGCAGTGAGTGACAGCGTGAGCTGATCAGACACCTCAAGATACGATCCGATGTGTTGAGGAACACCGAGAAGRACGCAGGAGCGCCAGGCGGCTAACCAGTAATATCAAGTCTCTGTAAGAACATGACAAGCTGAGACCTTTTGGCAGGCCGTGGAAATATCTAATGGGGCACTGGCAACTGGTCTAGAAGCGAGAGAACGGGCAATGAAGTTAGAGCAAAACAAAGAGGGGAGCGTTTGCGTGCACCACATAAACACATCTTTATGTCAACCAGGGGGGACCCCAGCCCAAGGAGCCGCCTCACCAACCACCCCGTGTCGCRGCCCGCTGGGGCTCGCTCTGCTTTTAAACGTGCCGTTAACGCCCCGGCCGTTGCTCTTCCATCAGCCGCTGCCTAAGCCCGTTCCGGCGCGGGCGGCAGCGGCATGGCCGCGAGCCCCGCGCGGCCGCCTCAGGTGAGGCCGGGAACGCCCCCTCCCCCCCCCGCCGCGCCGCGCCCC